CGAAAGCCTAGCCTGAGTGGCAAACGCCGGGGGGGGGGGGGGGGGGGGGGGGGTGAACTCATAGTCGTGCATGCCGTAGTCGTTTGACCATTGACCTCGCATCCCTACAAAGCCGGGACGGAGCACGCCGGGTTCTCACCGGACCAGGCTCTCACATCACCAAGCGCGAAGCGCCGTGAGGTATTTGGCGAGTCGCATGAAGGGTGAGCTGCATCCTGCTAAGGGTGTTCGGCATCTTGTGCTTACTTCCTTGCGTACGGATGACAGCTACGTATGACTTCATTTATTTTCTGGTGCTTTCACTTCCAGAGACAGTTGTAAGCACTGTGTAACTGCCTCGAGGAAGCTTGACCATTTTAACACAACGAGGTGCGATCATCCCCCGTTGCGCGGAGTGAGGTTTCTCGACCCCGCACAACATGATCTACTCGACCACCATTATGGTTACCGCCAAAAAAAAAAAAACGAGGTAAAAAAAAAAAAACGAGGTAAAAAAAAAAAAACGAGGTAAAAAAAAAAAAACGGTAACCTGGTTGCCGAGTTCACGAAGTGAATTGGCTTGTTTTACAACGTCGTTGCCAAGCGACAAAAACCCAAACCCCGATGGCAAACACCGGGGGGGGCGGGGGGGGGCAAAACCAGGGCAAAACAAAATGAGCCAATGAAACACAAACGATGACTGCCTTACCGTCCAGCATCCACGAAAAAATACTTTGTATGAAAAGGACACAATCCAGCATTCACGGGTAAATGCCCTGAATCCACGTTTGCGTGATGATGCAAATGTCTGCGTTTTCGAACCGCGCGTCTTCGACCCCCCTCGGCCCCGAGTTACAGCGACAGCAAATCATCATGAAAAACAGAGGGGAGCATGGCTGAAAATCGGCACGCGACCTCTCCCTCTCGGCGGCAGTAAGCACCCCGCAGGAGCAAAAAGCGGAACACATTGATCACGCGAAACGAGACCAGACTGCACCTCGACAACCATTAGTACCCCCCCACCTGCAACCCACACTACGTCAGACACCGCGCATCCACCATCCCCCCACACGACGCAGCCTACCGCCGTTCGTGGAGCACGGTACGATACAGTGGGGGCCAACGAATAAGGCGGTGGCGTGGCAGCTGATACCCACTGCCTTGTATGGGGCAGTCGCCCTATTCAACGTGTAGAATAACTTCATCATTCCGTCGATGCCCGCCAATTTCACCCGCCATACTGAAACTGCCTATGCGGCAACCCCCCCCTCGCACGGGCAGGCACCTCGAAAAAATTCAACCAACGTCCTCTAACCTTTCCGTCGTCTTTCTTCCCGCCGTCGCCACCACCGCCGCCGTCCGCCGTGCCGGCACCGCTCCCGCCGCCGCCGCCGCCCCCGCTGTCCTTCTTCGCCGGGATTCCCCAGCCGCCACCCGCCGTCGGCGCCGATGCGAACGAAGTAAACGAGGAAAACGAAGCTCCCGCCTTGCCCGTGGAGCTCCCAAACGACAACACCGGCCCCGCCGCCGTGGACCCGTTAAGCTTAGCTCCGGACCCGGACAGCCCCAAGCCTGCTGATGCTCCTGCTCCGAGAGGAGACGGGGCGGTCGTCGAGCCGAATCCCCCGAACGACAAGGGTGCCGCGCCGCCTCCGATGACGGAGGTGCCTGCTGTTCCCAACGACTGGTATTTCGGGGGGGGGGCGAGCGCGGAAGCGTTAGCTAGCGGCTGTTGCGATTATTGCTGTCACATGAGACAAGTCTTCTTCGTTTACGCAAGGCGAGAGCGAGCGAGCGAGCGACGGAGATCACAGGGATATTCAGCATGTATCTTGTCATTTCTTGCCACCGTTTTTAATTGTTCGACCCGTCCGTACGGGAAAAACCAGGTGTGTCCCTAACCGAGGTTTACCTGCACTACACGAACGGCCGTGCAACTGCCAGCTCATGTCCGCTCGTCCACCTCGTCCCTACCAAGCCTCGCCGAACGCCCTCTGCCTCACCTTGAACGGCGTTGCCGTGCCGCCTCCGCCGAGACTCGCAAACGAGACCACCCCCGCCGCCGCCGGCTTCTCCTCCTTCGCCGCTCCCTCTCCCGCCTTCGGGTTGTCTACGGCCGCCCCAGGGGATGGCTTGTCCCCGTCCCCTTCTCCTTCCTTCTTGGTCCCGTTCTCGGGTTCTTTTCTCTCCGTCTTGGCTTCCGCTGTGTCCTCGTCCTTGGAGGCACCATCACCTCCCGCACTCGCTTCCGCCGTAGACTGCGGCTCCTCTGTCGCTGCTGCTGCTGCTGCTGCTGCTGCGGGTTTCGGAGATGGAGGCGTCTCCGCGCTAGCCGGGGTGGTGGAAGAGCTAGCACCACATCCGTCTGCCGCGGCCGCCGCCGCCGCCGAGGCGCTGCCGCTTCCGCCGTTGGTCGCCGCCGCCGCCGGCGTGGCTGATGGCATTGCCGTCTCCGCTGATGGTGCCGTGTCGGCAGGCTTGGTCGAGAGAACCACGTTCTGGAAAGGGTTCGCAGCGGCGGCACCGGCGGAGGAGGCAGACCCGAGACTCGCGAACGGGTTGGCGGAGGCGGCGGCGGCGGGAGGTTGTTCCGCCGGGGATCTTGATCTGACCTTCACGATCCTGAGCCGGCATTGATGGCAGGTAACAGCGTAAATTCGGCAAGGACGTTTGTAAGAAGTCACAGGGACGGACGGAGACAGCCCAGCAGGTACAACGGTCCAGTGCATTGGCGAGGGGACGTCAAGGGAAAATGGCTTTGGATAAACTTTGCAAGTCACCAGTGTTACTTTATACCTGGCAACAGGCGTTCGCACACACCTGCAAACAGAAATTTGGACATCGAAATCCTGTGAACGGTGTTAGAACCGCAACATGCAGCACCCGCGGGAACTACAAAGATTACCGTAATACCCGCGTTCGACCGCCATCACTGCTGTGGATCTTCATCCATCGTTGCCTCCTGTCAACAGCATACCAGTTGCCACCTAAACCAGGTACTGCCTTTTCTAGAACGAACGTCGGTAAGCCAAGCGACTGCTGTGGCATTCAACACAACCTGCAACGCAATTGGATGGGGTGCCTATTGCCTTCTACTCGCCACAACGACGACGACTGCATGCGAAGCGCCGGACAGCACCGGCGCGCAGCAGAGTGCGAGCACCTCTCTCTCCGCTCGGTGCGGCGATCAACCCATCGTAAAACAGAGAGCCACCGAGAAGCCAAACGCCCATTGCCCGTGTGACAAGCATATGCAGATGTAGCTTGCTGTCTAAAGGGTTCGACAGCAAGAAAAGAACAAGATAACACCAGAATTTAGCATGTCTCAGTGTCGGCGTTCATCCCAGCATCCTTTCGAGGAGACAGCCCTGCGCGAGGGTACACCAGACCTGCTGGGTCAAGAGTGGTGATAGGGGTGTGTGTGTGCCACGAACCTTACTCTTTGCAACAACGGGCGAATCTCCATCCCACAGGAAAAACACACGAAGCTACGCCTTCTGCTGCAAAAGTGGAGTGCCAATTCAGCCTGACTTATGAATGCAGCCACCCGCGAAGAAATATGGTCTCTCTCGGCTTGTAGTAGGCAGGCACACAGCGCTTACTTCCTCGTCTTGAGAACTTCGGCAGGCGCTCGCTGAAAGGTGCCCGCCTCCACCTCTTGGCCCACTCCATCGCCCTCGGGATCCTCGTCCTTGTTGATCTGGTGCTCGGCAGTGCGCTTGACCTTGCGCACCGATCCTCCTTCCGCCATGCTGCTGCTGCGTTACGTCCCAGGCGGCTCTACTGTTGATTTGGCATACGCCGCAGGCAGGCAATGGAACCAGTGCAAGGCAGCACACACAATCAAGTGCACAACTTCACACTTCGCGAAGGGGGACTCCGCAAAATCATCAGCAAGGTACATACGGGGTTCCGTGAAATCCATAATCCAGGAATCCAATCCATCATGAACATGCATGTGAATCCCGGCCATCACTGGTGGCCAGACGCGCAGGCTGTGCACTGATCACAACCTGCCAAGGGTTGAGGGGGGGAGGTTGGGAGGCTGGGATCGACCTTGGACACAGAAAACAATGTGTGGCATCTGCGGCCAGCCCGTCGTGTCCGTTGGAATGGCGCCGCACTCTCTCTCCGTGATCGGGAATACTTGCCGGCCCCAGAGATTGTCATCGGTGCCCAATCTAGATGCAGTAATGCTGTACCCTCAACCATCTGGCCACCAGTGATGAATTATTCACAAGTTATTGAATGCAAATGTTTTGAGGGTGATAGACCAGTTCCCAGGCGATGACCTTGCAAACTTCCAAGCTTCATTTGACGTGACTTCGAACTTCGTCGGTGCAGCCTCACGATCCGGGATTCATACGTCGCAAGTATCAACACTTGTTTACCAAATAGATGGTAACGTGGACCGGTGTGAGCACCGTTCGCAAGTGTAGAACCGTTGCTTAACTCTTCAGAAATATGGACATATCACAAACTCCAAAGGGCTTCTCAATACGGTATCATCCTTGCCACCGTGATTTGGAGCGATTGTCTTCCAAGAGGAGGAAAACCCCCCTGTCAGATCATCTTAACCGCGTAAAGCGGGAACGGAAAGGCTGAATCCTGTCGAGACGTGAAGTCTAAACAACGGCAAGCATGCAATAACAAACGTGGTAACAACTCTTTCTGGTGTGTCATTCTACCTTTCTCTGTGATCCCGACTGGGCCCTTCAAAACAATACTCAAAATAAGCGTGGACACAAATCTAATGGTTTGATTTCGGCTTCTAGGCAACAGCGGGATGGAACCTACCCAAAAAAAAATCGGGCAGCACTACGTCAGTCCTAAATGCTGCGACACAAACACAGGCCTTCGCGCACCCGCAGTCCTTGTGCGTAAACAAAGAGAGCACAATCGCACACCGTGGCTCGTGTGATCTTCTTCGTCATGTTGCTGAAGCTGACTCTGTTTCCGTTGGCAAACATACAAGCTGTAGCTGGTGCAAATGCACACAATAGAAGCCAGACGACCCCGCCAAGTGCGCAAAGCGAGGTAGGAAGAGGGAAACAAACAAGACCGACTACAGTAGTGATGCCGACACACCGCGGTCCCGAATAACGCGGTTCCCCATGTGACATACTGGAGTATCGCGGAAAAAATCCTTGGGACAACCACCTAGCCTACTGCTTCCAATTTCTATTCAGGAACCGTTTCCCAATAGCGCGGGTCCTGATATAACGTCGTGGTTTTCGTCGGTCACTACACCGCGATGCGATATACCGCCACCTCCACTGCTCTATGGGAAACTGTGGAGTATCACAAAGGACCGAAAAAGGTCGAGTCATCTCTAACCTGGGCCCCGCCAAGCTTTTGGGCCTCTCAGCGTGTGCCCCAGCGTTAACTTTCTACCAACAAATCTCCTTCAAGGATCGCAACAACGGGCCAGAAGCGGCCTGCGGTAAGGCAATAGAGCCACCGGGCGCCCTCCCACACCCCCTGCTCCCGAGGGGGATAATTGCTTTCCTTCTCGTTCCAGATCGTCTTCCCTTCCTCAGCTACGTCGATCCTCCGGTCCCCGAACATGCTTCTTTTACCAACGGCCTTCTGGTACCCCTGTCGGTGCTTTCATTGCCGTTGTCGCGGTCGTCGCCGACCAGGAATGTTTGCGAGAGCTTGAACTTGAGCCAGAGCTTTCCCGGGATGGCCACCGGCTTGGCGAGCTTGCGCAACAGGGTCGACTACGCTAGGGAGATCGCCACTCTGCCGGAGTCGATTCCTCTCTTGTTGGGCCTTTTTGTAAGGTAGAGATTAAAGAAACATCGACAAAAAAGAGACATGGCGCACAAAGCGACGCATACGGACAGCAAGCAAGCGGACGAGAAGAAACACGGATGTATAATCAGCTAAATGACGTATCGTGCCATGGGCGTAGGATGACACCGACCACTTTTGTACCACCTTACAAGATCCACACGAGCGGCGGGAGAGGGGGCACGGGTGAGTCACGCGAGAGCAGAAATAACGACACGGAGAGAAAATGTTCCCTTCATGAAGGTGCCCCCACACTAAGAGTTTGGCACTTTACCTGGCGTATTCTATATAGCCAGGAGAAACAATGAGTGGGGACGCCATGCATGGTTTTGAGATCGAAGACGCTACCGGGGCAGCACAATTTGCTCTCGTCTGTTCTGTCTGTCTATCTCCGTCCATTTATCTCGTGCTGCCAGGTAAGCGCCAGGAAGGCCACGCTCAAGCACTGATGCACGGCGATCACCTTGGGAAGGTTGCTCGCCGTCACGCCTGCAGGCACAAGAGGAGACAGCAAGGGGGAGAAGCACAAGGAGGTCGAGGAAGAACGGGCATGTGTTACAACAGTCGTTGCCGCAGCCGGAGAAGCTTGCCTCATGCCGTAAAAAGACGCCGAATAGATCTTCTTAAATGTTCCGTATCACTTGTTTGACGTGACTAGCTAGCCATTTGATTCCAGAGAGAGAGAAAAAGATACAGAGAGATTGAGAGAGAGAGAGAGAGAGAGAGAGAGAGAGAGAGAGAGAGAGAGAGAGAGAAACAGACAGAGAAGACATACGTTCCAACCTGTGCGGGCGAATTCAGCGCTCACGCCCCTTACCCAAACCCCCCGGCTTTGGCGCACACTGCATGTCCAGTACATAAAAAATACACTTGTGTTTAGGGTCGAGAGCTCCTCTACATATCTAGCTCTGGCGAAGCTCAAACTATCGTTGTTGCTCCAACACTGCGGGTGCAACAGGCTGGCGCACAACCGCACCTATCTTGAACCCCACAGCCGCAAGTCTAGCCCTAAAAAACATATCGCCGTTGCTGGCCGAGAGGGAGGGTTGAAAGCTAACTATTGAAAACTGATTGGTCATTGATTGATCATTTGCAAAAGCTGGCGTGGTGGCAAGCCGTGGAGTTCCCGCGCTCTGTATCCCTCCTCGCCGCGGGTGTTGCGAAGTCCATAGGTGTGTCATTAATTCTTGCATTGACCGCGCTAACCGGTGACCCAGCGGGAAAACCTGCTCTGTAGGTAGGTCTCGGGAAGCGGGCACAAAAATACGCCATGCGCGAAATGCGAATGCCAAAATTGATGTCCGTACATTATTTCATAGAGACACACATCACAGCACCACACATACCTTTGCCCGAACCTACATGTAGGCAGCCACTGATCAAAGAGTGGAGGGATGCAAAAGGGGAATTTTAAGCCAGCCGAAGCCAGGATATCGTGCTCACTATTCGTACAATCAATCGTGCATTCCAAAGATCCAGCAGTCATCGTGCTGCTACACTACACAAGTGTAGACGAGTCAAACAAGGCACTTCCCAAGACACGACATGTGTACATGCACATCACACAAGCACACATTCCCTCGCCCGGAGCTAGGAAGCCGCTGCGTAGGTGTGTGCTGGTGTGCTGGTGTGCTTGTGTGATTATATGATATTGTGGAAAAAAACAGGAGCTCCACATGTACAGTGAGCTGGCAGCGGCAGGGCTTGACATGAGGGGGGGACAGTACGGAAACACTTTTTTCACTGATCATTGGAAAATAGACTCTGAAAATAGAGTAGTCGAGGCAGCTAGACGACTGATCATTTCGAGGTCTACAAGGCTACCTTTCCAACCGGCCGCAGCGTGACCACCCATCAACCCTCTATGACTCTGTCTGTGGCCACCACCCTGTCGCGGGCTGCCCGCATGGCCTATAGGTGGAGGTTGCTGTTACGTCTATAGAAGTACATGTCTCTTCTTTTGTCTGCGGGGTTAAAATATTTCGACAAGATCGTGAACAGCCCCACGACCATACCACATACAGCAGTTATTGTCCTGCAGCATCTCGGCGACGGACTCAGAGTGTCCCCTGAACGGTACAGCAGCACAGGTATATGTTGCATTTCGCCGCCTTTTCCCACCGCAGATGTATCTGTTCGATGAGTTGGATTGCTCTTATATCCACGAATCTTTGGAGTGCTCTTACATCGATATCGTAATGGTGTGCACAACAGTGCAAGCGGAGTCTGTACAGCAGCAGCGTACCCTATAGTTTAAGATCACGGTGCCTGTTGAAGGGATCATGAACGCTGCTGTCTTGGACAGGACAACAGCGCACACGCAGGTCCAGGTATCTTGAACGCCCCGCGAACACACCTCTGTCTTCGAAATACTCCTTGATGCGGGCCAACATGATAGAACGGAGGTTTCGCACAATGATCCCTGTGTCGCGTGCTCCTCTCGCAGTGTATGCGGCGTCCTGCAGAGGAGCGGCAGAGCAGCAGGCTCCTGTACGGGCTGTGTGGATATTACGACAGCGGCAGTCCCGTTCTTCGGATCGTTCTTCGTCCCGTTCTCTGCGGGGTCCCGTGATTTACAGCGCAGGGTACCATGTACATATCCTTTTCTGCGGAGCCCCCATTGACCCTCTTGACCGGCGAACTGCGAAGGTACCAGGTACACGGAGGACATCTTTTGGATCGCGACACTGCGTGAGACATGGGACCCAAGAAGAAGAAGGGAGATAAAAAGGGGAAAGCAGGTGAGTGGCGTGGTGCGAGGGATGCGGATTGCGTAGCCTAGAATTCGTTCGTCGACCAGCTCGTGTCAGCTGATGAATCTTGGATCTTTTTCCATATTCATGTCGTCGGGGGATCGACGTCTGTCAGTTGTTGAACCCTTGTTGCGTTAACCAACTTAAATCCTGCACCGCAGGGGAATTCTTCCATATCACACCATATCGGAGCTCTGCTCTCCAGGGGAAGACTGTGGGTCACTCTTGGAAATTGTCGGCATAATTCGAGACTTAACAGTACACATGTATTCTCTTTGTACGGGATTTACGCGACAACTTGATACAACCCCACATCTTCAACTCACGACCGAGCCGGACGACGTTGCTTTTCAAACATTTGGCGGTCCTCATATAGTCCAGCAATAGAAGCCTCGAACGCATAGAACATGACTATCCTCGCGACATGGTCGATGATTGTGTCTTTAGGACTCCAGAACCCATCCCCCCGTCCAGCAATATTCGAAAATAGACTTCTACAAGCAAGCGTGCCGCGGTCAGAGCACGCCATCAACCTTAACTCCATCTTCGTTAGAGCCGGACAGGTTGCCCAACTCTCTGGCCGTAGTAAATTTTGAGTGGTACACTTCGATCGCCTCCCTTCTCTTTGCTTTGTATCTTCGCTGTACTGTAGACCCAGTTGTTGTGCCGTAGACAGCAGAAACGTTGAGCACATGAATTCAACTGTTTTGACCAGTGTACGATTGTCATAGGCTAGACCATAGCCGATGGTTTGCTTCCTGGTGGTTTTCCCACCTACATAAGAGCAATTCGCCCGCATACCCGTATGTACGGAATAAGTTCGTCCAGAACCGTTGGCATCGTGCCCTTAACGTGGCCATCGGTAAAAGAAATTCTAGTCTAGCAGCTCTTCGCCAATTCCTTATCCGCCGCGCAGGTGTGGAAACAAGCAATTTGTATCCAGGTGTTCCTTCCCCGTAGCAGCCTCATATACCTATCGTAGACCCTCGCCGGCGGTACACGTAGCAAGTTAGTCTGTGGGTGGCCGCGTGCATCTTAGCACGGTTGTCTTATTCCGTGCTTTTCACCCTCAAACAATGCGCCGTGCCACAGGGGAAGCCGCAGAAGATGGAGCACCGCTATCGGACGCCGACAAGGCCAACATGTTCCAGGCGGCCTTACAGTCGTTGCAGATACAACTCGGTGAGGAACGGCTACCATCTCGTTAGTCTCCACACGCCACCTGCTCTTCTCATAACTATCCCAATACACCTGGATGCCTTAGACTACAGTAGTGCGTACTGTAGACGACATGCTTGCCCGTTTCCGAGGGTTAGCGATCGGGGTCACATGCCTGCTGTGATATGCGCCTTCAGTTCCACCCGTTCTCTTTTCGAGACTTCTGTAAGATATTCTGTTCTAAGGAACGAGTCCTTCCGGCGAACTGTCGCTGGGATTGGCATTCCTGATATCGACCACCCAGGGTTAATAAAGCCGATCTAGATCATGGCGCTGATTAGTCACCACCACCGTAGTCCTCCTTCGCGTTCTGCTCTGTCCTGTGTGGGATCAAGGCACGCAGTATTGATGTGTGTCATCAGACATTGTTTACTGCAAGTTGTTCAATACATGTCTCTTCTTGACGGGATTGTCCCCGCGTTTGGCTCACGACTTGCACTGCGGGACGAGTCACTTGGTTCCTGCCCGTGAGTGTAGTACACAATTTGGTGAGTCTGCAACTAAAATGATGCAGCGGATTGTTCCTTCAAATGGTGACTCCCGGAGACCCATCGTAACACCCACTACCCTCTATGTGCTTAAGGTGACGATTCCATGTCCTACGGCGGGAAGATGCGTTTCGAAAAGGGGAAGTATCGATATCGACCGCCCTTCTGCCCCGCTCCCCCAACTGTCTCCACACTATCGTAGCCGGCAGGACCGATGAAACCAGCAGTGCGCTGGAGCAGAAGCGAGAAATGGTCGAGCAAATCCAGGAAATGCAGCGTAAAATCAAGAACGAACAGATCGGTAAGGAAACCAAACACAACAAGTCCCTCGCGGACCACTATTCGAGCACGATACTACCACACGCTATCGACCGAGGTATCGCGTGTGGAGGTCTAACGAAGTAAATTCGCTTGCGCACGGAGTTTGGGTGATAGTTCCCCACCTCATGGGCCGTGAACAACATTAATATCCAGAAACTGAATGTCGGTTACGGACGAATGGTGCCACCCGTATGTCAGGCAGCTAGGGTAGCAACGGAAGGTCAAATCATAGGTGAGTAGTGTATGATCACTGCTACCTTCCGATGAACATCGATGTATAACCCGTGTACTGCGAGCTTCCCCCGATGACAAAGGGTGGTCGACATTCATGCTCCTCTGGAATCACAGGGACCCTCGACATCACGCGGGACATGACACGCCAGTATAAGGGAATGCAGGAGGAGCTTCTGAACCGCATCAACCAGCTAGAAGGCACCATACAGGTGATAGTCTCTCCGAGGAACGGGTACCATTGACAGAGGTCGATTCCAACGGAACGGACCGCTGGCCACCGAACCAACAACGTTTCGTGAGGCAGCACTTGCACACGTTAGGCCTCAGCCCATCCCTTTCAACCGTGGTTCGCGCATCCCCTACGCGGCATAGCTGCCGAAGTGGTGACCAAGAAAAATAACACAATCGTGTACCACGTACAATGCTAGCGGACCCCCCCCCCCCCCCCCTTGTATATCCAAGCGCTATGTAGAGAATACCCATACTTTTGCGTTGGTATTCGGTGTCTGCTAGCTCTCTACGGCGCGGTGGTGGCAGTGGGCACCTGAACGTGGTCGGTGGAGTTTTTTCGATACAGTTTCATCGAGGACAAACGCAACTCAGTGACCTTCCGAACCACGTGTTTCCTCAGCCTCGGCTTATCCCCTGGGGGAGGGTACATGCCTGACGCTCTCTCTTTGGTGTTGTTACGACCGGCATGCCAGGCCCTACAGGACGAGTTAGAGCGATCAAGGCTCGAGCTTGAGCAAGCCGTGAAGGAGAAGGACTCTATCATAGCCGCCAAGGATAAGGAAATCTCCCAGGTAGGCAAAGCGTCTTTCATATTGTGACCTGTAGAATTTGCACGACCATCGCACGTACCAGTGATCACCAGCGTGTGCCAGTGGGGCTCAGATCGCCCGTTGCTCGTCGTCAAATATATACCTTTCGTGCGGAAGGCAAACTCAAGTCCCCGAAAGCGTACGGGCGGAGGGTCGTGCTCGACAACGAAGCAAGACGCAGCACACGCCGCGTATAGCATGTTGAACATTGATTTCTGATTTTGGCTTTGTGATGAAAAACAAAAAAATCCTCTTATTCTACTTAAAGGAACTCTTATTCTACTCAAAGGAAGAGCAAAAACAAAAAACGATGGTACCAGTGTAAATTGGTCAGGGTTTCCCTACACTTGTCCACAGTATGATCGTGTCTGAAGGACTATCGTTACTACGCGGAGAAACGCACAGGCGTGCGTGCGATTGGTGTAGCTCGATGGTTCTCCAACCAAGAGGTTGGCAATGCTTCAATAGGTAGTTCTCGTCAAGAGCTTTCCTAGCGCTTGATTGTCGGTTTCGCTCCCTCTTGGGGCGTGGAGAAGTCGTTTTCGTTTACATTTGATCTCCCACCTGAGCGTTCGGCCGCGCGTTTACGACATTGTCGAATATTCCCTGGAGTTTACAAAACCAGCTGTGAAACGCTCATCACCGACGTTTTAGTTGGTTTGATGTGCCCGGCGGTGCCCGGCATGTATGTGTTCGTTGCCTCGTTGGCTTCCTCTTGTGTACTGCCTTGTATTCAGATGAGGGTGAAAATGGAAGATATGGCACAAGAGTTCGGCGACATGCTCAAGGAAACCCTTGACCGGATGCGCGAGAGAATCGAGGTACACGTACTCTGTATGTTTTTTGTACTGGTACCTCCCAGATACCGTAGGTACGGCTGATACGAAGAAACCGCGCACTTTCCCAATGTATGTAGAAACGCAACCGTTGCATCATCAAGTCGCCCAAGCAAGGTGGCTTCGAGTGTTGCCCCTCGACGTTTGAGCCCGTCGGGGGAAGCCAGACGGGGCGATAGGTTACACAGCCCCCACTCTTCGACTTCAATGACCGCACGCATTACCTTATCTGCCAGGCATCCTGCCGTTGGCGAAATAACCAACGCTCCCTCAAACGTGAGAACCATGTCCAAACCGATCACCGAGGCGTGTATTCTAAACCGTGGTAGGGCTTCCAACGAATAGCTCTCGTTCCTCTGAGCCAGCCAGCAGACATGCCAGAGGAATGCTTGTAATTGGAAACTTTGCAAATCCATTGGGCAATACAACCGCCACGGAATTTACATTCGGTATTGTCTATCTGGACACCTATCTATGTCTACATGAGAGTAGGGTCCCGCAAACGCATTTAATCGAGCGCGCTCGCCTGTCGTTCTGGGCGCGATCTGCACGAAACGTGATCAACCAGGTTAACAGCACTGGATTCGATGCGGATGATAGCATCCCGCTTCAGCGCCGATTGGAAGAAGTCTCCCTAGCCACCCTTTCCGAAGCACCGCACAAATGAGGTTATGTGCGGCGGTTCTCCTTCCTCTTGATTTGGGTCGTAGTTCGTAGTGAATGCCGCACCGTTGGGAGCAGTTGTAGATTGATATTCGTTTAGTAGGTTTCCTTGCTGGCGCTAAAAATATTGCTGGTTCATGAACGAGAGAGCCGTCCGTGCTTGATGACCCCCTCACCCACCAACCTATGCATGGGTGAGGTGGTGTTTACGTGGTTGGCGATGAGCCTCTGACAGGTTGCTCCCCGGCAATGCAATAGCACAGGAAACCCTCGGACGCAGAACGTGCTTTTCAGAAGCATCTTCTTGCAAACACACATGGTTAAACCGTGTCGACCATGTGTTCTTCTGTGCCTGTTAGTTGATTTGATGCGAATCGCCTTTTCTTGCCCCTCCAGGGCGTGGAGTGGGATTTCCCCTGCCCGGCGCAACTAAACTGAGAAAATACTTCCCCGGTTTGGCAAATGGGTGCGCTTTTGACATGATCGTCCTTTAGTAGTATGAATGGGCTTCCGAATTGATTTATCGGGTTCCAAAGAGTCCTGTGCTATATATAGCCGTGCAGCAAATGTTGTTCTTGCAGACATGCAAAAGTTTCAGGCACTTGTCGTTTTGCGGGAGCGTTGTATTTTTGTGAGTCTCTGGTGTTAGCGTTTTCGGCTGCGAGGACACCAATTTATTCACTGGTGCGACCGAGCGGCGACTTTCTTCATAAAAAATTGTTGTTTTGCGTCTCATAATGGAACGTCTCCTAACCACAGAATTCTTGCTTTGGCTTGAACGGTAGTTGGTTCAAGGCGAAGTTCGGGATAGATGTCAGATTGGTTCTTGATATGAAGACGACGAAATAATAATTGCGGCAATACCAATAGCAACAACTCGCGCTGGTTCACCCATAGTAGTAATCTACCTCAGCCGTAACAGACTCATAGGCTGCCATAAAAATAAGGCATGCCAAAGGGGCGGTACAGGGCGGAACCCGTTGTGGTACGGTAGATACAGTAGGATATACGAAGAAAAACGTAGCATGCATACCCCGCTGCCGCTTTCCGGCAGACAGTTAATTGTTGCCGGCCAGTTCATACTGAGATTGTCCCATGAAACGTCCATCTTGCGTTCCAGCCATCCGACACGCCTCATGGGAGTCGCTGGACGTCTCGTGGGACCTATGGGGCGCCACGGCATGCGTGGGACGGCGCACGGGACACGTGTTAGGATGATCCGAACTGGGGGTAGCTTGTCGCAAGACGTGTGTTGAATAGGGTGTCGGCAACTCGGCGAACTCGCGCCAAGGAGGAAAGATGTGCTGGGCTTGTTGTATAGACTTCTTCTTCACATGAAAAACATGGACTCACATGAACACATGAACGAACTGCACGCACACGCGCACGCACCATCAGTACGGGGGCGACGCAGTATACAACAGGGGTACCTTGCACACCCTGGAAATACATTCCACGTACCATACAATCCTACAACCACTTGGCATTGCTACAAGTATATCTATCAGCCCCCCTGCTTGTGACCATGCCATGTCTTTTTCGATCCTCAAGAACTCCAAAACACAAGAAAATAAAATCATAAACTCAATTCAACTCCAGAACAATAGCCTTCTTGGCTAGACATCAATACCCTTCCCCGATCATACCAGTTATAATTCTTCGAACTTCAGCGAACTAATTGCCCCCCAGCCTAGAACACCATCCATTGAGAAAAACCATAGGCAAAAATGCAAAATATTGCCACCCTAGTTGTTTGATCGCACACAAAATAAACCCAAACATAAAAATCTTAATCCATACTCATTACGAAGTTACGATGAAACTCGAAATTTCCCACGTTAAGTGCCTTCGTGAGGAAGTCAGCATGTTGATACGCCGATTCCACGTGAAAAATCGAAATCTCCTTCCTGCGTACCAAATCCCTGATAAAGTGGTGCCTTACGTCGATGTGCTTCGAGTTACTGTTGCTAATTGGGTTCTGTGCCAACTGAATAGCCCCCTGGTTATCCTCGAACACCGGAATACACGGCATACCGGCTTCTGGCAACATGAAACGCCATACTTGCCTCAGAAACAACACTTCCTTCATCACATCCGCAAGGGAGACATACTCCGCCTCTGTCGTGCTCAACGTAACGCACTTCTGCGTCCTTGAAAACCAAGAAATACATCCCCCCCCACACATCACCAACCCTCCTGACACAGACCTCCTATCGGCAGCCTTACTTGCATAGTCTGCGTCTGCGAACACCTCCATGCTCAACCCTGCTACACTACCCCTCCTGAATGTAATACCCAAGGCACTAGTCCTTACCACATACCCCAAAATACCAAGACCTGCTCTCCAATGAATCTCTTTGGGAGAGGCACAGTACCGTGCTACCGCTCTCACTGCGTTCGCGATATCTGGCCTCGTTTGCGTTGCCAGCCACATCAATGATCCTATCAGCTCACGAAAAGGCCTTGATACCACTTCTTCATCTTGGTCAAACTCTGAAAGCTTCAACCCTACAGGAAGAGGAATTTCCTTCCCGTACTCTACCCCAAACTCCATCCCCAACTCTTCAGCGTACGTCTGCTGCGATATCTTCAAAGTCCCTGCATCCCAATCTCTCTCATAAAAGCATCCTGAATACCACCTCAAATCCCCAAGATTCTTCACCGGTACCATGGTGTTGAGATCTCTGCCAAACTGGTCACATCTCTCCTCCTCTCCTATCGAAAATATATCATCTACATGTACCACCAGAGTTACTACCACTCTTCCCTCCTCAATCAATCGAAACACACACGTATCCGCCATGCATTGAATAAAACCCAAACAAACCAAACACCCCGCCAAGTGTGAATGCCATTTCCTCGATGCCTGCTTAAGGCCATACAGACTCTTGTTCAACTTCACTATCATACCTGACAATCTACCACACCCCTCTGGCAGACGCATGAAAACATCCTCATCCAAATCCGACTGGACAAATGCTTGCTTGATGTCAAAATGACGGAGAGAAAGATTTTGCTCACACGCCATCGCTGCCAATAAACGAACGCTAGAAACCGCTACAGTCGGTGCATACGTCTCTCCACAATCTACATGTACTCGCTGCATATCTCCTCTCGCTACTAGCCGTGATTTCACACTAGTTGGCCATCCGTATTCATCAGACTTCCAATCAAATACCCACTTCGCCTTGATAACACTCTCTGGTTGCTACAATACTTCCTCAAAGGTACCAGCCTCGATCAGACCTCTGAACTCCCTCTCTACAGATGCCATCCACAAGTCAGCATGCTCAGAGGACACAGCCTCCCTATACGTTTTGGGGACGCGCAAGTCACTAGCATAGCATTGGGGCAAGTCCGGTGCCACTTCCGGGGGATCTAAATCCCTCATCGCGCGATCAATGTCCTCGCGGGAGGCAAGTAAGGTGGCGCACGCAAATGGGACTTCTTCACGCAGTCCTTCTGTTTTCGTGCCCCCCCGCTCTTCCCCCCCCAGCTCCGCTCCAGCATGTCCTCTGGCTGAACTCGGGATCTCCTTTCTCCCCCCATCGACGACGCTGCGAGTGGTGAGGGTTGACAGGAGCGTTGTCTTGTCCTGCAGGGAAACAAGTCCGAAGCGGTGGGCGGGAGCGTCGCCGCTCCCGCCATGTGTCGTCGACCGCTCGTCCCCTTCATCCTGGAAACGCACCCTCCGATCCCTCAACCTCCCCGGCACCCGCGTCTCTCGTCCCAAGTCCAGCTCTCGATTGGCCCTGGCAGAGAGGGGCGGCATTGACGAAGCCCGCCCCCCCCCCTGGTCCTTAGCGGCTGCCCTCGTGCGCCCAGAAACCCTCATGTCCCCGCGTCCCACGTCCAGTTCACGGATGGTCCTCGTGGTGAGCGGCGGCATGTTGGTCGATGGCGCGGCACCGGGCGGCACGGCGGCGGGAGACGGTGTTACTGACGGAGCAGGCGGTGGCCCGGCGACGAACGGCGTTGCAGGCGGCGCGGTGGTGGTGACCGGTGGCGCGGCGGCGAACGGCGTTGCAGGCGGCGCGGTGGTGGTGACCGGTGGCGCGGCGGCGAACGGCGTTGCAGGCGGCGCGGTGGTGGTGACCGGTGGCGCGGCGGCGAACGGCGTTGCAGGCGGCGCGGTGGTGGTGACCGGTGGCGCGGCGGCGAACGGCGTTGCAGGCGGCGCGGTGGTGGTGACCGGTGGCGGGGCTGCGGTAGACGGCGCCGCCGGCGATGGTGGTGTGGAAGTTGCCGGCGGCGCCTGTGAGGGTATGGCAGCGGGTGAAGTGGGGGTTCGGGCGAACGGTGAGGGGGGTAAGAGAGGCGGTGCAATGTACTCAATTAAAAACGTCGGTGCGGCGGCGACATCTGAATCCCCCCCCTCGCCCGCCGGCGCCGGCAGCTCCAGCGGCGGGGTTAGCAACGGCGCGCGGTCGGAGACCCATACAATGTTATTCGTCATGCACACGCGCCCCGTAGCAAACTTGAGAACCTTGACCGCCGAGTCGTGGTGGTTGTCGCCATTGTTGAGGTAGCAGCACAGCACTGCCTGGGGGTCCATCTTCCGCGTACGCGTCACACGCATGTACCCCGGCTGCAAGAACGGGACGATCTGGAGTGGGGGCGGGCGACCGGTGAAGAGCTCGTGCGGCGACTTGTGCCCTGCGTTCGCCGTGGTCGGGGAACGGTTGAAGCCGCCGGCAGCCCAGTGACATGACTCTAGCCAGAGCCGCTCGCCATCGCGCCCGTAGCCAGGGATGCGGGTGAAGTCGATCTTGGGGGAACAGGCGGCATGCTTCGAGACGAGCGGCGTGGCCGGCCTTGTTCACGCGCCAGATCGCGCTCTCCGCCGGGCCATTTTGTTGCGGAGTGCCCGGCGCCGTGTACGTACGGCGGATGCCGGCGTTGTCGCAGAAGGCGATGAAGTCGTGGCTGAGGAACTCCCCCCCGTTGTCCATCCGGAAAGAACGAGGAACACCGGTGCCACTCATGTCGGCGAGGAACTTCTTG